TGGTGAAGGGGCACTTCTTATCGATATAGGTCCCGAAGATGGCCTCTTTGGGTGTTTTGTAGCCCAAGCCAATGGACTTGTAGTATCTCGTACCCTTTTTGCCCAAAACAGCCTGTTTCTGGAAAGCCCTCTCAGCCTGAAGAAGAGAATAGTACAAAATCCCATGTTACTTGTTCTGCCATCGTGCCTTACACGCCTTTCCGAAAAGTGCGCGGAGGTGAGGGCGACGAGTTCAAACGCACGACTGATTTTAGTTGTGGAAATCAAATGGTTAAACATGTCCAATTCAGATTTTTCGACACATTATTGCCAGACTTTGCTCCGGATGACAATACGAGCCGAGACTTCAAACATGCTTACCACTGAAGTATTGTGGGATTGAGGATCCAAGCAAAGGGCAAAGTTGATTCTGGATTCCTGGTACGAGACTTCGGAATCTGCCAGGAACTGATCAAAAGTTAAACCTTAAAGTGGTTTACCTAAACATGGGAATGTGGAAGTATGAGATGGGTAGGTAAGGGGCTCAACATCCAACCAATTACGGTGTACAGATTAAAGTACTTATGGTAGTAATTATGATAGAAGGAGATGTAAAGCGGAAAGAGCGTTTAAAGATAACCAACTTAGCAAAAAAACTCTGCCGCAGCTAATGGGCGACGAAGCAGTTGCATTAACGCAGAAACTTCTAGTGTCAGGGTACGTGTCGATAGAAAAGAGCGTTAGCATATAACCTGAACTCAAAGTGGTCTTCATGGCCATGTTCCGACGTTCGATTTCATTTATGTCTTTAAAACGCAACTGAAGAAATCTGTCCAAGGTCTAAGTCGGCTATCAAATAAGCTACAGCCCGCCATCAGGCCCATTTATGTATGCATACTCCAAACACACTGGCTAGTGTTGGGAGCAACGACCTTCGACGCAATTTAGGAAGCCATTTAAGTTTTCCTCGTGTCATCAGCAGTCAGGCAGCGTGCAAGAAATGGTAAAAACGCTCTATTCTATCTTATAGATTTTCTGAGTAAACTTTCAAAAACTCCTGGCTGCAAATAATGATTATGATCATGATCATGATGACGACGACGACGACGGTGATGGTGGTGGTGGTGGTGGTGGCGGCGGCGGCGATGGTGGTCATGGTGGTGGTCATGGTGGTGGTCATGGTGGTGGTGGTGGTGGTGGTGGTGGTGATGATGATGATGATGATGATGATGATGATGATGATGATGATGATGATGATGATGATGATGATGATGATGATGATGATGATGATGATGATGATGATGATGATGATGATGATGATGATGATGATGATGATGATGATGATGATGATGATGATGATGATGAATAGAATATAACAGATCTATTATAGCGCCACTTGAGCATTGTCAGCCTCTATGGAACACAGGAAAAATAAACAAAATAAACTCATCCATTAACGCATGATTGTAATAATGATTATAATTGCAATCATTATAATAACATTGTAATAATAGCATCGAGTCAATTAGTAAAAAAGACACTGTGGGCAGTAATGGTCTGCGGTAGCGGCCATATGTACAGTGGAGTAAAGGAATCGCACCAGGTGAAGTGGACAACGTTATTCATGACCGCACGGCGATTTGACATTTCGCATACGATATTCTTAATAATAATAATAATAATAATATCCACCAAAATCAAAGTGGAAGCTTATGGAGAAAAATTGCGAGCCACAAACGAGTCAATGCAAAAAACTCCCAAAAATTAAAGGTTAAATGTTAGTCCAGGGACCCACTGCTTTCAAAAACATTCAAAAGCAAAAAATCACTTCTCAGACGGGTATGAAGGAGCAGGATAGGTTCGTCCTAACAGTAAAATAAGATTATTAATGCAAATCGGTACTTGAAAGTGACGCCTCATTAAAGTGCGCCTGGGGATGCTAGATAGTGGCAGACCTAGAGTGGGAACGAGAGTTGGGGTGAGACCTCGAGATTCTGGTGGGAAAAATAAAAACCTTATGAGGGTAGCGACGAGTGATACAGATCCGGTCTGCAACGTGCGCATCAGTGTGGCCCCGATCCCACTTCCGATAGGTTGGCCGAGAGGACATCGCAATTTCTGCTGAGTGATCGCAGAAGACGAAACCACGCACCGGGACGGAAATCAGAGGAGGACCTAGCAGGCCACCTTAGAGGATACCTCTGACAATAGGGCTCTAATTGGAAAATAAGGGTCCCACTTAGACCTTTTGTTTCCGATCAGATACGAACAAATTTGTAAAGTCAATGAAAGGAGTAAGAATTCCTAGAGCCTGCAGTTTCACTAAGAGTCGTTTAAGTGGCACCTTATCCAAAACCTTAATAAGATCGAAACAAATTATGACCAAAGATAGACGATCATTGCTAAGAGAAGTTAGAAGATTCAGAAAAGACATACGACGCGTTTCGCAAGAAGGACTGAGCCAAAGGCCATGTTCGCAAGGGCTATGAGCTTGATTGATTATGCGTTAATCCGTAATTCTGATGGTAACAATTTTTCGAGCAGATAACTGAGAGCGTTTTATGAACATCGCAGTAATACTGCGTATCAGAATGAGGGCCAGAGTTGAACATTGGAATAGTAATATAAGTTCTTCAAGCATCAGGAAAGACAGCATTCTCGATTGAGACTACGCATAATTTGCTCAGAAAAGGAGGGAAATCTCTTATCTGTTTAATAAGAAATTTCGGTATGTTGTATTTTCAACTGTAGGTGATTTGATAAGCTGCCCAATCTGTTTCTAAATACCTGCACGGGAAACAGTAGTGGTAGTGAGGACAGCATCAGGCAACGGAAGACCTGGGGGGATTTGGCCAATTCGATAGATGAGAAGGTTGGTGAAGAATGAATCTAACAATCCTGCCTTGACCGCCTCCTCAGTAATGCAAGTATTGCGGTAACAGAGTAAGGACGGTGTTAATTGGCAGGACTCAGTGGATGGTCGGTGGCGGAATACATAAGCAGCAGATCTGGAAGAATTTGCCTCACTAGCAGCCAAATATTTCCTACGCTTATCTCGCGTGGGTCTCATTTTTGAAACCAATCCAACTATTTCGGCGAATCCTAAGCAAATCAACAATGAGCTTATGGGTGGATCCTTAAGCGGTTTTCGTTACTTTTTAAACCTCTTCAACTGTCGCGAACGACGATGTCCACCGTATGTCCTTTAGCAGGGCTGTCACGGGGACGGTGACATGCACGTGATTCATGTTGTGGTGATAGTAGACTCGTTCTGCATCTACCACACAATCCGCTTTCTCACCCAGCTGAGTCCGCTGTCGAAAACTAATCAGAAGGGCCGTGAGCGGGATCTGGCGCAGGTTGCTGACAAAGCTGTACAGCCCATCTACGCGTGCCAGAGAGAACCGGCATACGCAAAACAGAAAATTTTTTCAACAAAACAAAAAGTTATGGGCTGTTTTTATACCAACTGCGTGGTAATGCGCTAAAGGCCAAGTTGCTGGTTTCAAATTCGAAGATAAGGGGACAATATTATTTAAAACGATTTTTTTCAATGGACACGAAGACTTTTAATCTTTGTTTTTAGAGAATTTTTTTAATCCCGGCCTATTTCACTAGAATTACCGGTTGCCATTTCGATTTTCAGCTCTACTAGACTGTGCCTATTGACTAATAGTCGTATTCCGCAATTCGCATTTTGCGCATTCGTACTGTGTCCAACGGTGTAAACTCTAATACCGTTAACCTCGCTGGAATTTTGCCGTCAGATCTGCCAGAAGTTTTACTTAACTGCAAATTACCTCCAGAGAAGATAAGAGCCAAGGTCCCACGTCGCGAAGGCTCTCGGCTTCTGTACTTATGTGTGAATTAATCATACCTAGGTCCGAAAGTATTAATGGCCATTTTTCGCCTGTCGTTATTGACAGACAGTTTTATTCGTCTTCGCTATACAATTGCAGCGGTTTTATGCTGACGTTTGACACTGAGAAACTCTCAAGAATTTAAAAGTTCTGACTCACTCGTTCACTTGACTGCCATCGATTCAAGTGACAGACAAAAAGCAACATATAACTCCTTATTAGGAAGTGTTCGATGGTCTTGACGACCAGTGGATTTTGCGGTGGACTTCCTGTATTTATGGGTAGAGGATGTCAAGCATCTGTCGTCCCGTAGCAAAAATCCGCCCGTTTTCATTAAGCTATTTAAGCAATCGAGGTTGATTCGACATTTGCCCACTGAGATCGAGTTTCTGTATATCTGGAAAATACGAAATTCGTCCCTTGGTCGAGGTCAAGGCGCGCAGCTCAATTTCAAAGGTAAGTGAAGCTTTGCATTTACTTGGATATTCTTAAGCAATTTATGCCTATTTGTGTACTTGAGTCTATTTAAAAATCGGTCTTCACTACAAGGCAAAATTTTTTCCAGTTTTATTTGACAGTCTGGCAAAATAGCCGTATTTTGTAAAAAACCTTTGTAGTGACTCCGTTTCAGACTACTTCTTTCTAGTTTTCGTAGTTAAATAACGGTAGTGCTTGCTATTCAGTGCGTTTATCTGTACGTTAGCAACGTTTTGATCCTTGTAGTGTCACGAATAACTTTTCTTGTCTGTAATGCCCCGCAGAGCACGTGCCAAAAGACGAAAGCTTGCGGCGACGCCACAGTCTCTGGGTGAGAAAATCGTGACCGAAGACGTAGCAGGTGTCAGCATATGTTCTTCGCCTTCTGTAGATATGGTTAACTCACAAATCCCCCTAGTACCTGAAGAACCTCTTGATCCTTTAATTGTCCAAAATATGCCTCTGCTAGTAGTAACAGGCCATCAGCCGACGAAATACTCGATCATTTGCTAAATGGCGACATAAACAGCAATTCTGAAAAATTTATTGAACACTCTTTTAAACTTTTTGGGGTAATAAGTTCTGAAACTGAGGAGAGAATTAAACGCAAGCATAATTTCGTACTGCGAAACATACCGAGTCACTTATCTGCTACGGAGGGAGCGCATTTGTCCCTACAAAGTTGTGGCCTGAGTTTCAGTGTCGCACAAGCTAAACGACTGTGATCGCTTAGCCGTAATGCACCGATATTATTTACCCTTCTCTCTATGATAGAAGTCGATTTTATCTAATATATGAGTGAGATAACTAGAGAACTGTGCCGTAAATGGCGCTGCTCCGATTCTCCAGACCTCACACCCCTGCAGCGAAGATTGGACAAGTTGAAATTGTCAAAAACACACACACACCGAGATAATGACACCTAATGTCAGTTTGAATAAGTCCTTTACAACACTATCTGCGATCTCTGCACGTCACCGCATAGTCAATTCCGTAGGGAATTTGACTAATCTTAATGCTGAGATCTTTAAACACACCATCACGCCTGGTATAAACACGCCTCTATCGACTTCCTCAGCAACCCCTAGTAAGCCTAGGCATGTGTCTAAATCAAAGGCAAATCCAATTGCTATCTCAGCCACTCGGACACCCGATAAATCCAGCACAATTATAACATCGTTTCCTCCACAATCGGCTAACGGTACCTCAAAAACGCCGACTCAAAACGTAGCGTGTTCCCAACTGCCCCCAGCTCTCATATCGAGGCAGTTAGGCCGAATATGCCGATTTTCCCGCCGTTCAATAGAACTCTTGCTCCAATGGAAGCAATGCGTCCCGCACCCCCTAAATTGTTTCCTCCTCATGCTAATGCGCATATCGGATCAGTTAACTCATCCAATCCTCAGTTTCGTTCCGGCGGGAATGTGTTGCAGTATCTGGCCCCCGGATTTCCAGCTGAAAAGAAGAAAGCTATCAATGGATACCAGTTTACCTGCCCGTCATTCCCCCCCCCCAAGTCCTACCCTTTTTTATCCACGTCAGAATCTTTTGACGCCACAAAATCTTTTGCAGAACCGGATGGTTACATCCGGACCGTTTGCTCCGTGGGCAGCCGAGCACTGGACGACGTTGCCTCCCCCCCCCCCATCAGAAACAACAGCCTTTCCTCTCAGACTTTTTGTTTTGAATGCCAGATCCTCGCTTAATAAGATGCCTTTGCTTCAGACTCTGGTGTTCGCCTATTGTCCTGATACTGTATTAGCAACTGAGACGTGGGCATCAGCCTCAGTAGCTGACTCCGAACTCTATCTTCTAGGCCATAATTGCATTCGAAATGATTGCCAAGATAGCCGTGGTAGGGGCAACTGCGTCTACGTCAAGCAAACACTTACACTTCTGCCGCTGGACCTCCGCATTTTTTCGCAGTAGAAGGCAGCTGTTGTCTCCAGTTTGCACTACAAAATAAGTTCTCCTTACTTGTTGGCTGTGTCTATTGTCCTCCAATGCCAACGACAATTTCGATCGTTTACTC